ATCTGGAGTAGTTGGTTCTTTATTCTTTTTATTCGAATTCGAAGTTTTATCGAGAAGTGTTTCTTTTATTTTAGGATCTGGAGTAGTTGGTTCTTTATTCTTTTTATTCGAATTCGAAGTTTTATCGAGAAGTGTTTCTTTTATTTTAGGATCTGGAGTAGTTGGTTCTTTATTCTTTTTATTCGAATTCGAAGTTTTATCGAGAAGTGTTTCTTTTATTTTAGGATCTGGAGTAGTTGGTTCTTTATTCTTTTTATTCGAATTCGAAGTTTTATCGAGAAGTGTCTTTTTTATTTTTGGATCTGGAGTTTTTGGTTCTTCATTCATTTTATTCGAATTCGAAGTTTTATCGAGAACTGTTTCATTTATTTTAGGATCTGGACTTGTTGGTTCTAAAGTCCTTACGTCAGTTATCATTACCTTTAATTTTTTCATAGTACTTAGGGGTGTTGACGGTTTGGAAGTTTGTTGCATCGGTACAGTACAAGGTGAATTGATTTTAATAGAATTTAATGTTTTTTTCATATCATTTAATTTTAAACTAACATTACGTATATTTAAATCATTTTCACAATCATTTTCATTTGAAGTACTTTCGTTTTGTTCAAGATCTACTTCAATGTTACTTGCTTCCAAAATGTTATTGTTCTTTTGAAGATCTGTGTTTGGTACTTCAATATTACTTGCTTCCAAAATGCTATTGTTCTTTTGCGGATCTGTGTTTGTTACTTCAATATTACTTGCTTCCAAAATGCTATTGTTCTTTTGAAGATCTGTGTTTGGTACTTCAATATTACTTGCTTCCAAAATACTATTGTTCTTCTGATCAGTGTTTGGCATTTCAATATTACTTGTTTCCAAAATGCTGTTGTTCTTCTGAAGATCTGTGTTTGGCATATCAATACTACTTGATTCCAAAATATTATTGTCATTTTTAAGATCTGAATTCGGCACTTGAATGTTACTTGCCTCCAAAATGCTATTGTTTTTATTAAGATCTGTATTTGATACTTTACTGTCACTCACAATTTCATTCACTAATACATCTTTAATCACCAAATCATGGGAAATAATTTCAACATCATCATTGTATGATTTGTTTACATTTAATTCATTTAAACTTTTATTAAGTGCTTGCGGCTCAGTATTTGGATCTATGTTTTTATTACCATTGATTATAACTGCATCTGTATTAGTTACATTTATGACTACATTATTAGTCATGATTGTATCGTTTATTTTAATATTTTCTTTTTTATGCTCGCCAACATTTTCCTTAATCATTTCTATATCTTTATCATCATTTCCAATATTTTTACCCTCGTCTTCTTGTTCTTTTTTAATATCAATACCAACAACTCCTTCATCAATCTCAATCATTTCAACATCACTTTCATTATGTTCAACTTTTATTTTTACTTCTCCACTTTCGTTATGAAATACTTTATTTGATTTTTCTTTAGATTGATTTTCATCTGCTTTGAAGCTATTTTCATTGTCTTCTGTTAAATCTATTTCTTCGCCGTAAACTTTTTTTTCTACCGGTTGCTCAATTGCTGCTTCTTCTATATTGATTGAATTTTTATCGTTCGCAATTGAATCGGGCTTTTTCATATCTTTAGTTTCTTCTTCTTCTTCTTCTGTGGATTTAACAGTATCTTTTACGTTGTTCTTAACAACCTCACTATTTTTTATATCTTTTTTCTCTTCATCAGAAGTTTTTTGCTTCTTACCTTTAATAGTCTTTTTAGCATTTTTATCTATTTTCACGTCAATTACACTGGATTGGCTATCCTCATCGGTGTTAATGTTTATAATTTCCACTTCCGAGTCCTCAACATCGTTACTATTTACTTTTCTTTTTAATGGACTATTCTTTTTTTTTGGTATATTTGTTTTAATTTTCGACTCAGCTTCGATTTTTAGTGCTTTGTATTATAAAAAAAAATAATTTATATAATCATTATATATCATATATATAAACAAGTACTTACCACTACGCGTAAATCTACTGGTAGTTGCACTAATTTTGTCACTCTGTGATCGAAGCTTTGGTGAAATAGATTTTCTACGTGTCTTCTCTCCATATTTTGCTGAATAATTAATTTTGATTATTTTTATTTAATTTAAAAACATTATTCTTTGCTTTTGTTGACTTACGTTTTTCAGAATTCACATCTTCCTCTGCAAGCGTAGGAAATTTAGGTGTCTTCACTGATTTCTGCACGTCAACTTCAATAATTGAAGTACTATTTCTACGTGTAATTCTTTTTGAAGGTGTACTTACTTCAGGAGTTCCTTCTTTAACTAACTTTCCCATAAGCTTGGAAGGAGTTGAAGTGGATAATCTACGTGTGGTACGTCGTAGACCAGTATCTTTTGGTGCTGTTATAAAAAATATATTAAAATATGTATTAATGTTTTAATAAAATTTGAAAATTCTATTATAGACAAATTACTTACATATATCTAAGCTCTGTGTTGAAACGGGTGTACCAGGTCTACTTGAATTATCACTTTCTGACTGAAGATGCTTATGCTGTGAACGTGTCACTGAAAATATAAATAAAATACATTACATTATATAGAAGATCTTGATATGCAACACACTTAATGATTAGTTTGTAATAAATGTAGGATTAAGCTGGCAGTGCCAATGAGGTGAGATGGCCTTCACAGCACAACAAGCAAAGTGAAGTTAGTAAACGACGAACAACTAGATAGAAAACACGTTTGCTGATTCTTACAATATAACTCATTTAGTTTCCAAAAGGATATATGGTAAATTTGAGCACAAATATTCTTAAGGAACGACAACTTCTAATACCTACTTAAATGGATATTTGACCAATTCGACTGCATGATAATAATGATAAAAAAAACTTCTTAAAACTTTGATATTGAAAAATATATATTCTAGTTAAGCACAATATACAGATTTATACAATAAAAGTATTAAATATATTTTTGTTCAAGAGGTAAGTTTTTTTTCCAAAAGGTCTAAGTTCAATACATTAACATGGCTAGATACATTAGATGAGTGCATTTATGGCGACGAAGACAGACCATCGACGCAGAGCATACCTTCTTTTACTGTGATAGGCAGCTAACATTTAGCGAAGAGCTAATAGCCTATATTGAAACAATAAATCTCGAAAATATAGTGATAAAGATGAAAGCGAACTCAGAGAACTGGCAAATGATTGTCATATGTGATGAAAATGCGATGAAAAAGTAGAGGTCTAGACGCAGATGGAAAATCACAAAAGCATGATAAAATTGTGCTACAATAAAAAATTAGAAGTTCTAAGAAGAAATCAGAAGTAATCGTTGTTAATGCAATAATAATCGATTTTTGGACCCGTTTCTTACAAATTGCTAGGTTTGTTTGCCTTGATCCTAGTTGACTTAAATTGAAAGCCTACTCATCCACCAAATTATTCTCACTCCTAAATAGTCTTTCCCCTCTGAAAGCTAATACTAATCTAATAATAATACATATCCACATTCTAATCTATGTATGTCTTGGTAATTCCTTTCTATTATCTGTTACCTTTACAGATCCTTACCTTTACAGCAGCAACAGCAACAACAACAACAACAACAACAACAACAACAACAACAACAATGCAACAACTGTTTTTCAAGTTTTTAAACAAAGGGTTAAATATAAGATAAGAACTATATGCTTTAACTATATAAATGTATATATTATTTAATTGAATTGCATTGGAAGGTCGTAAAACTAAATAATTACAATAAAAATATTTATATAGCAGCGCATACAGGAGTGCACAAATGAGTAAATCAATATAGCATTCTTCCAGCAGGCTGGTCGCGCTGTCATTTTTAAGAAAAAAAAACAAATATTTACTTTTTATTCTCAACATATGACTAAAATGATTTTAATTAATATTTAAACGAAATTCAAATATTTCCCATTTAAGATAAATGAAAGTCAAACAACATATAAGAAAAATAATTTCACAATAAGAATATTTTAATTGGTTTAATAGCAGACACTTAAGTATCAATTCAATGACGATATTTTTTTATTATATGTAACATGGCCGTGTTTGAGAAAAAAAAAAATAAACCGTTTTCTTTTAAGTTTTATAGAAATGGACGAAGGAAACAACAAATACAAAAACGAAAGTGTAACGCAAGAGTCTCACCTTAACTTTTTGAAGCAAAATTACAATAACTTTCTATATATTTTACTTACCACGCGACGGAGTAACACGCCCAGTCTCCATTACAATTAAATTAAACTTATTCAATATATTTTAATATAATACAACAAATTAATAATGAAAAAAGCCGAATGACGCCACACGTGCTATCAATACCGTTTTGCAAATGCTAATAATTTGCGCTAAAGACAAAATTTCTGTTATATTCAAAATCAGCTGTCAGTGTTGTCTTTCCTTTCAAAAATAGTTACTATAAAATTATTTCAATTTGAAATGAAAGTATAACAGTTTTCATTTATTAAATGTCAAATGTTACTATATATCAAAAAATTACTTTTTTTGAGCAAAATTATCATAACTTTCTATATATTTTACTTACCACGCGACGGAGTAACACGCCCAGTCTCCATTACAATTAAATTAAACTTATTTAGTATATTTTAAAATATAACAACAAATTAATAATAAAAAAAGCCGAATGACGCCACACGTGCTGTCAATGCCGTTTTATAAATGCTAATAATTTGCGCTAAAGACAAAATTTCTGTTATGTTTAAAATAAGCTGTCAGTGTTGTCTTTGCTTTCAAAAATAGTTACTATAAAAATGATTCCAATTTGAAATGAAAGTATAACAATTTTAATTAAATAAATGTCAAATGTTGTTATATGATATATTAAAAAATTTTTTATTATCTGTATAAATATAGTTTATATATCTATTTAAATATTTCATATTCATCTATGTTTAAATTAAATTGTATTTTTAATTAATTTTTTTATGAATGCACGGGGAATCATTTCAAAAATTTTTTATGTAATCTTATTAGAATAGTGGGAAATGCAATATGTACATAAATATATTTATATTACGAACTTCGTTCTTTTATAATTTTAAGTAATTGATTTTGCTTTGCAGATTCGCTACAGACCATTGCAATATTATCTTACACATTTAAGTGTAAATTATTAGAACACATATTTAATACAATATATTAAATTGAAAAAGATTATATACGATTCTTAAAAAAATTCTTGAAAAGTAGAAAAGTAAATAAAATAGAAAGATAACAAAAACAAATGCTAAAATAAAATCCCTAAAACAGCAATGTAAACACCTGACGTGTGCAAACTGAATTAAGCAAAGTTCGATAGTTAAAATATATAATGTAAACATGATTCTAGACTTGACTAATGAATAACAAAAAAAAAAAAACACGAAAATACTTTTTAATGTGAAAATCGAATTTTTTTTTTCAAATTTTAGAACAACTCGTTTAAAAATTGACAATAAAAAATTCATTTCACTACGAAAATTAAACAAAATAAAATTGTAAAACTAAAAAAATATTTTATACAATGAGTCATATCACAATTGTCAATTTTCTGCTTTTAGCATTATTTGTTAAGTTTTGGGTTCCTAAATTTATAAAATATTTATTTTTGTGATATAATTACAATAATTTACTTAATTTACTGTACACACATTAAAGGCTTTAAACGCTTAATTTTATATGCTCATCCTAAAATTAACGACAAAGTAAAAATTAATCTACTTTCAAAACATAAATAAGAACCAATAATATTTATTCTAACTGGAAAATATGTATTGAAGTTTTTATTTTAATTCTTATATGACAATAAAGTGCTGTGACGTAATTTTTGTGATTGCTTAAAAAAAACGAAAGTAAAATTTATGAAATCAGTAATAACATAAAAGTATTTTGATGTATGTATATATTTGAAAGTAATAATATATAATTAACTAAAATTAAAAGCCAAAATTTCTTATTGCAAATATAATTATTTCATTAAATATTAGACATATCTATGCTTTATTAAAAAGTTTTCCAAAAAAACAGCTGTTTTTCCAAATTCGCTTTCGTATCGTGTGCAATATAATGCATTTATCGCCGTAAAGAGTTTCTGCAAGTCTGAAACTTCTCATTTTGAGAAAAAGCCATTGAAAAAGTCTACAACTATACATTATTCAGTTATTGTTCTGTGTACGAATATACATTTTTGTAAATTTAAAATTAAAAAATATTTTGTTATATATATACGAATATAACTACTTACTCAAATACTTTTAGTCTGACTCACTATAAATGGCGGAGGATTTTCTTATCTTCATTATTGCCAGCTGATTTTGTTGGAACACGTAGAATAGAACAGACGTGTCATATACATTTAGCAAATCAAAACAATGTTGCTTTGTTTGTTTATAATTTCTGTTTTATGCATTGATATTGCGTTGTTGGATTGTGGGTGCAACAAGTTAAATAGACAAGAAGACGAAAAGCCGCATGCATTATATGAAGATAAAAATGCCGATATAGATGATAATAAAGTATGTAAGCAACAAAGCAAAAATTCCCGATACAGGGATTATTATGCGGAACCTGTTATCGAGGATATGTCCCTAATAACAGGTGGTGATTATTTAATTGGTACCGACAAACCACATTTTCTAGCAGATCATGAGACACCTGAAAGAATAGTTAAACTTAAAGACTTCTATATGGATAAATATGAAGTTTCGAATGAAAAGTTTCAACAATTTGTAGATGCAACAAACTACACCACTGAAGCGGAAATATTTGGTGATAGCTTCATATTTAAAGCGCTCCTAAGTACTGAAATGCAAAAGGAATACGAAGACTTTAGAGTTGTGAGTGTAAAATAAATAAAATTTTTAACTTCAAATAATAGATTATTATTCATAAATTCGATTTTTAAAAATAAAGGTTTCAGCGCCTTGGTGGTTTAAAGTAAAAGGCATATCATGGAAGCATCCTAATGGACCAGAAAGCAACTTAAATGGTATTATTCACTTTATTAACAATACTAATGAATATATTTATTTGTGTTTTATAGATTTACAGAATCATCCTGTAGTTCATGTATCTTGGAATGATGCTGTAGCTTACTGTAAGTGGTTAGGTAAGCGTTTACCCACTGAAGCTGAGTGGGAAGCAGCATGCCGAGGAGGTAGAAAACAAAAACTCTTTCCATGGGGCAATAAATTAATGCCAAATGATAAGCATTGGTATGAAAATAAAATTTATATATAAACAATTAGAATATATTTTTTATTACTTTCTAAAGGCTTAATATATGGCAAGGGGAATTTCCAGATGAGAATACTTTGGAAGATGGTTTTGATACTACTTGTCCGGTTAATGAATTTCGTCAAAATAATTTTGATATGTACAATATTGTGGGTAACGTTTGGGAATGGACAGATGATATATGGGAAAAAAATGACAGAAGTGCTAATCCTAATATGGTTAAAAAGGGAGGTTCCTATTTATGCCACAAATCATATTGTTACCGTTATAGATGTGCTGCTCGTTCGCAAAATACTGCTGACAGCTCAGCTGGAAACCTAGGTTTTCGTTGTGCAAAATCATTGTAAATTTATCTTTTAAACTTAATTATAATGAAATATATTATTTAAGTAAATAAAAGCGAAGCTTAATTGATTGCATATTTTTTATTTTTAACAATTAAGTAATTATTCGCTATCTGTGGCAGATAAGTATAAAATAGATTAAGTTAGCTATTTGATATATCTTCTTTATCCGAACTCATGTATTGAAGGCATTATTTAGAGTTCATATATAGTGCCCTACACAAATTATTACTGTTGGAAGGGATTTATCATTACTGGTAGTAGTGAATTTAATTTTTTTTTTATGCAGTATTGTTATAAAAATTATTCAAAGTAAATTAAAGTAAAAGTATCTCAGTAAATTACAACTTTTCATACACATTGTTTTGTATGATTGATATTGTTGATGATGACATTAAAGCTCTGATTGTTACTCTATTCTGTGATTGATTGTTGATTATTACTCTACTGTGATGGGACAAATTGATTTGATCTTAAAAATATAATTACAGATTTTAGTACAGAATTCTTATAATTTTTTTTTGTCAAATAAGCAGTCAAATAAAAAAAGGTAGACTTATCATTAGTTAATAATAAAATTTAAAAATATTGATTATTCCTAAATACAACCAAAACATTATACCCAAGTTACTTGTTAAGTAAGAATATTTTATCTAGAGCTATTGATTACACAAACTATATATTTTAGGAAACACTATTCCCTTTATATACAATCACGTCAGATTAGATAGAGAAAGAAAAGGTTTTGTATCCGTTCAATGGGATATTATCTCATGAAACCAATGTTCACATTCCATACCTCAGTATTCATTAACTTTACTTAAAATCTAGAGTTCTTTCTTGGTTAAGAATATGAAAAAGCATTATGTTTTCTTTATTAATATTAATTATTTTCCAATATGTTTTGTTTTGCCAACTCCGGGTTGAACTGACTATTGTATTTCTGTTTAATTCGAGTATTCGAAGGTTTCACATTTGTCGTATTTACTGGTGGCACATCTGTCTTTGGTGCCATTAAAGCTTCTTGTCGCAATTTTTCAGCAGCTTCTCTCCGTAATCTTTCCTCACGCAACTTTGCCAGTTTTTCTTTCTTGTCCTGCATTCTTTCAATGGACAATTCTTCACGATTTTTATGCTTAAGTTCCTTCTCAGAATTATATTTGGATTTTTTCTTATGTTTTTTTTTAGACTTTTTTTCTTTTTTCTCTTTACTTTTTTTGGATTTTCTATTAAATTCTAAATCCTTTGTTAGAATTTCGGTTTTAATTTTGTCATTACTTGGTGCTTTTTCTTTTTCTTTTTCTGAATCTGTCTCTTCATCAGACTGTTGTTCAGATGGCAATAGTGTTTTTATCAAGGTGAGTGGATCATTATAATATTTATTTCTAAGATCTTTTTCATCATATTTTGTTTCCACTCCACGGATTGGTGCTTTCTCATACCAACTTTTCAATTTGAGTGCTTCATTTGTATCTTGCCCAAGATAAGTTAAATATCCTACTTGCTTTTCATATTTTTCACGTTCTGCCTTACTTTCTTTTTCAGCTTCCTTATTTTTACTTTTTGTATGACTATTTAAATCTGAAAATAAGTTTACATGTTGTGAAGAAGTAGGAGTGTCTTCATCAATTTCATATGTTTTTTTAAACTCTTCCAGATCCACTAGGCCAGATTTTTTACGTAAAAAGCTGATACGCGCTTCATTTTCCTATAATTAAACATTTTTATAAATTGTTTAATGCATGCATTAAAAATACTTACGGCTAATTCAAATTTTTTCTTTTTTACTTCTTCTTGTTCACGAGCTTCAGCTTCATCACGTCTAACGCGTGCAATATTATCTTTGTTACGCACATGCCAGCTAATAATATATTAAATTAATTAAATTAAACAAAATTCATTAAAAATATACCAACCTTTTTTTCGGTAAAATATTCATGATTCTAAAAGGAAAGAAAACAAACTAAAATCAAAATACTGAACAGCTGTTATTTATATGCTGTATAAATAAAATCAAGTCAACAGAGTTGCATTCAAATAGTACTTCAGGTAAAACAACCATCTGTCATTTGAAGAAAACTGTATATTTCCATTCAAGGTAAAGGTTATGTATTCTAAATATATATTTTTATTTTTGTAGTACTATTTATGTCATTGTAACAATTAACAGATTTTATGGTAATAATTTCTGTAATTATTTTTGTAAATCATTTGTTAAATTTTTAAATGTCATAATTTTGTAATCAGGTGTGTTTTGTATTTTACTGTTTTGCTGGCTTTTATTTTCCTTTCATTAAAAACTAGTTAAAGAAAGCAGAAAGAATGAGATGTGAGGTACAAATACTCGATTTATTTTACTAGCACTATTTTTATCAGTAAAAATTAGTAAAAGTTATAAAGCATATAGTAGCAACAGCTGATTTATATAAGCATGTTTTATTAACGTTAATGATATCGATTGTATTTAATAAAATTATAACTAAACTGAAGAATATTATAGCTATTTATTTATTATTTATCTAACTCTAAACAAAAATTAAATCTTAAGTTGAATTCAACTAAAAATTAAACTGGTTATTCACGAGAAAATATTAGGTCTATTTTGAGTAACACTGTATATACACAAGTGCGTTCCACTAGTAAATTTTTGAGTACATCTGAGAGAGCATCTGAGAGAGCGCAACATCCCCGTCTAAATTTGAAAATGCTAAACAGACTTCACTCGTACATTTTATTTCAAGTAAAATTTGTATTGATGTGTGAATCAGCTGTTTTGTTTTGATTTTAAATTTTTGTATTGTTTATTTGCGTGGCACTGGTGTTCTTACCAGATTTTACACAAAGCTGTTTCATGAAAATCTGTGCATAGAGCGTAATTTGGTACTTTATTTGTGTTACGCTCTCAGTTTGTACTTTACTTGTGTTTTGCTTGAGTTTTACTATGAGTAGCTCGTGGAACAGACCTATTATATTAAGCATGCTATAGACGATGCTACATGTACGCAAACCAAGTATACTATGCTACCAAATCACACTGTGTACATTCATGTATGCATACCAAATTTCGGTCTGCAGACATGTCTGCAGTAATATTACACCTTGTGAATAGCAAAACGCATACAAGTATGCAGAATAAGTTGCAGACCAAGTATGCCAACCGAAATTCTAGAAATGCCAACATTCGCTGCCATACTGAATTTATTTACTTTTTCCCTTAATTTATGTTACCATCAATTTACTCGAACTCTCACACTGCCTAAATAAATAATTCTTCCAGTTATATATCAATAATAATGCAAAGGAATCCATTGAACATACCCTAAATGAAAGCTCTTCATGGCATTTTGACAGTTTGAAAAAGCTGTTTTTAACATATTTACAAAAAAAGGTAAACAAATGTTTGGTGGTTGCATTTTCTTGAAAACGATGCACTGCTTTTTAAAACTTTTACTTCCCAAAAAGTAATTAATCGAAGTTAAAAATATGTTTTAAGTTTCTAATGTAAGGTTTGAAGGCATATTTAACCTTCATGCAAAATTTTTTTGGCACAGGCCAAAAATCAAATCAACATGCAAGTTGCAAAATCAGCTGTTGAAATGAGAACAAATGAAATAGAACGAATGTAAACACTTTCAAATGGCTCATTCAAAATGAGCCATTTTCGGCCAATGTAAACGCCATAATATATTGTCTATCATTTTTTGTTCTATATATATGATATTCCATTTATTTAAGAATTAATTTTATTTAATTTAATCAAGTAGCTTCTGAAATATGGTAAATTGTTAAAATGAATAACTATATAATTTTAGTTAGTTTAGATTTTATTTATGTGTCAAAACAGTAAAAAAAGCAAAAGGGAATATAATTGCGAAATTAAAGTGAAAGAAAAAGCTTTTTTTACCGTTTTTGGAGCGCGAAAAGAAATAACATTTTCTAAGCAGCTAATCTGTTATTCCATATATTGTTGTGTTTAAAGTGTAATATCTTATATATTCGTATATATATAAGAAACAAACCTTAAATGCAGTATTTTCATATATTTTTATAATATAGTGTTGAATATTTCAAGTTTTATCGGGTAAAAAATTTATGAATATTCTTTTGATTTCTATGAAATCGTAATATCAATCAGAAAATTTCTTTTCTATTGAAGTGTACATTGGAAACAAGTTCATTTGAAAAACCAATATTAAATAAAAATTTTTTAATTTGTGTGTACTGTATAACATTTTGTGATTGGCAGCTCGTGTGAGTTTCTAGAATTTATTAAGCGTACAACGGGCACACCGATTGCCAATTGAATTGCCCCAAAAGCAACTCTGCTTAGTACATTGCTGCTGTCAGATTTCTGTGTCGTTCTCACATTATATCTGAGATAGCAGTAATTGGGTACGAATCTGATGGCGATCGCGAAGTAAAGACGTTTCTACGGAATTATATTAATAATTATTAGTGATTTCGGGATTTTTAATAAAGAACATACATTTTTGCGTAATTAGTGAATAAGTTCGGTATAAAATAAGTACGAAAATTAAAGGTAATATAAGCGCGCTGACCAATGGCTAACGACCCGGACAAGATTTTCAAGCAAGATGGCTACTTGACTGTGAATTTGGGCAGTGGTATTTCATCACTGAATGAGTGTCAAGTGGAGGCCAGTAACATTGTCTATCATCCGAACTTGAACGTTATTCTTGTTTTCGATAACGCGAACGAGCTAAAAATTCTTGATGTGCATTCTGGAACAATTTTGCAAACATATTCGCTTGTTGGTTCAGGTAAATATTTTTATGAGTGTGTTATCTTTTATCTGGCGCTATAACAATTTCAAAAAATTTGCAATCATTTATTAAATAGTGTAAAAAAAAAATTTACAATCAGAAAAGAATATGCATATTTCTCTATACTAAAGTCCTTTTGGCATTCGTGTTTTTGTTGTAGTTTATTTTCGCTTTAATTTTGCGGAATTGTTTAACTCAGCGGATTCCAATTGTTTGTTTAGTCTGTTTTTATATCGTAATGTATGGTTGTTTTCATTTTTATTATTGCTAATGATATACGATATACAATATATGTGTATGTATATGTGCAGACGTTTACATTACAATAATGGGGAATACCAAGAACAACTGCGTTTCTAGCGACGGTGTGGATGTTAATATAAACAAATAATTCTTAGAAGAAAAATGTTTAGAACTTATGTTTATGTCTCGGCTTAAGTCATCATATTTAACAATAACAAATTAAGCTTGTGTTGCCAATATTGCCAATATTGCCTAAGCTGTTATTTCATCAGATAAATGGCGTGATTATCGCCAATAGGCCTTACTAATCAAATATTTTATAATCTAAACCTTGATAATTTATGACTGTTAATATATTCTTTTTAAATGTTTATATAGATGGAGACAAAAATATCTATGGTCGATATATGTCTCTGCAAGATAAGATTTTAATTTGGGATGGACAACACCTAGGATTTCGTGGCGATTATAATGGCGTATTACTCTTCGACACAATATTGCAATCGCCTATTCTACAGAATGATGAAATTATCAAATTGGAATTATTGCTATCAGAGGCAATGACATTCCAGAAGTGTCTCAAGGAACTTGAGCAGGAGGACTTTGAATGTTCTGCTGATGTCACAAATGAGTTAAAAGATAAAATAGAGAGAGCACAAGCAAATTCAAAAAAGGGCATCAAAGCACAACGTGTAAGTTTATTTTGTTTTAAAAATACTATTAATATATATAGATATATATAATATATTTACTTATTTCTTGAAACAGTGGAATACTGTATGTTTAGAGCTACCATATTCCAGTATAAAGTTGGTTGCCAATAATTTAGTTTTGTTATTAAAACGATTGGAGCGACATATACCCGCATTACCGGTAGCTTCAGCGATTAATGAAAGACTCACCGATCTTCTTACCGGTTGTCGTTTACCTGAGTTAAGTTGGCAATGCACAAATTTGCAACGTACTCTGATGCATTCAGAGGCTGTACGACGACAGACATTTGAGAAATGGCCACATATGGATTACAAATGGGCACTACCTGACCAAATGGCACAGGCTGGGTTCTATCATCAGCCTTCGCCTACTGGTGAAGATCGTGCGATGTGTTTTACCTGCAATGTTTGCTTAGTCTGTTGGGAAAAGTCTGATGAACCATGGGGTGAACATGAACGCCATTCGCCTACTTGCCCATTTGTTAAAGGAGAGTATACTCAGAATGTGCCATTAAGCGTTACTTATGCTACATATCCAGCTGCTACTGTCGGTGGTATTGGTTTCGATGTGATTTCAAATAGCGAATATGCAAATGTACTTTGTACTAGCTGTAAACAATCCGGTGAGATATCTGTCTGGAGTATAGAACGACATTTGAAACTCATGCACACATTCAATATTGCCGTAATAATGAAAGATGTATGTGATGAAAGTTATGAGTGGGCAAATGTTACAGCGATATGTGTACTACCAAATGCATGCGCGCAACGTAAAATTAATGCTATGCATGCCACACAAATTAGTAACAATGGAGTTGCGAGCACACCTGGTGCACAACAATGTATATCTTCATCATCTTTGAGAGTGGGCGTTGTTGGATCTAAAATTGTACTAGGCATAAGTATTCAAAAAAGTACGGGCGAGCATGCCTTACGTATGGTTGTTCTCAATATTGTAGAATGTGATCGAATAAATGAGAATACTGAAGGAAGTAGTACAAGTAGTGTGGCCGTTAGTCAACCGAAAACATCAAACACAAGCAGTGACGGTAAGTAATAATATCTTTTATTTACATTTTTCACCCTCAAACCCTATCTGCTTGTATTATTTAAAGGAGATGACACTGTTAACGAACAACTACCACTCAAATATGAACAACAAGACGATGACAGCAAAACAGTTAGCGCTAATTTTGAAAAGTATGCGGATGGTTTCGATAGCAATGGGTTTGTTTCTGCCCTTAGTATTATGAATACCGATGGAACTGAAGATAAGTCGAATGCAATGGCCTTAACTGATTTGATTAATACTGAGTTATCACATATGCAAACGGATTTGATAATTGTAAATCCATTTGATGCTAAAATGAATACAGGACCTTCAATAGATATGGATATGGACGCAAATTATTTTAAAGAAAATTTATTAGCTGCCGCTCAAATGAAGAAAAATCAGAATATCACAATGAATGGCTACATGAATAACAACAATAATGTTAGTACCATTTCAAAAGCTCCACCGTGTGAGGACATTGAATGCGTATTTGAGAGTTGCACAAGCGTTAAACGTATGAACACTTTTAGTGATGATTTCGAAAATGAAATCGTTGAAATAAGTGAAATCTTACCAATAAATAGTGATTGCAATCAACTACTGGTTAAATTGCAAAAAACTAAACTTCCTTCCAAAGTAGAACAAAAACTTATAATGGCAACAACAGAGGATGTAGAATATGAGCAGTTAGTTGGTAAGTAGAGTCTAATACTATAATAATAATAGGCTTGTTACAAATATGTAATAATATACAAATAATTATTTTTTTAGATTCTTCCGACTTTAATGGCAACGATTTAGTTGCTCAATTGTTGTTATTCGATTATGTTGATGGTGTAATATCGAATGAATATACGTTAGCAGTCACATTTAATCGGAAAAAGCAACCAAAACAGCTTTGCATATTACCTAATTTCCAACTTGTCGTGGAAAATGAGGAAACAAACTCCGAAGTTGGAAGAAAGGTGCAGTATGGAGCATTATGCGTGGTTTGCAATGATGGTACAATTAAAGTTTATTCATTAACGGATTTTAAACATATTACTGATATACAAGTCAATGGAGAAGCTTTTACTTCTATTGCTTATTGTCGTACACTAGATCGTTTATGTGGTTGCACAAGTAAGGGCTCGCTTATTTTTTATTCTTTTAACGATGCAGATAATGAATCTGGAGATGAAATGCTTGAAATGGATGATGAGTCAAATGTTTGTGTTAAATCCACTAATAATTTAGAAATAACGGTGACAGATGGTGGAAATGAAAACGTTACCAACACATCTAATATTGACATTAATGACTTAGCAGTTTATAAGAATGGACTTAATTCTGGTAAATTACCATTACCATGTATACCGCAAGGAGTATTAGGAGTTGACTGCAGTGCAACAAATATTTTGACTCTAACACATCAGTCTCCATCTCCTACGCCACTAACTGCAGCGAATTGCATAGCTTTTAAAAGTTCTTTATTAATAGAGGATTTACGTACTTTATATGATCTTACAAAATTTGATGACAAATTAAGTGCTTATACAGCTGAAGTGCCAAGCTGTTGGAATGATATGGTACAGGCACAAAAACAAAGAAAACAACCGCAGTATTTACGCAATGGAGATGATACCCAACATGTTAAAACATGGCGTCTACATAATGATGCGTATGTATATATTTATATCTAATACTGTTTTTACACATATAATTCCTGAACCTCATTAACATATTTTTATTTGGATTTTGTATGAAAAATGGCACTCATCGCTGACGTTACATTGTTATTCTGTTTAATAAAAAATTTTTTTATTTTCAAGTTATGGAAATATAATATGTCAATTAAATTTTAATGTTTGTAGCACTACTTGGGACGAACATACGATTGAGTTGAATCTAAACCAGCCGGTTCAACTAGGCCACATTGACTTGAAATTCACATTATTCCAGCAATGTCATAATCCTGCAGCTATACAAGTGACTTTGCTCAAGCAGAATACAAGTGGATTTGGTTATCGTATGAAAGGACCAAATGCTTGTTATCAGGAATGTAACACGAAAAATTATGATGATTTTATACCAAGTGCTGCTGATGGTAACTATAATTTAGAAATAGAATATTTTAGAATGTTATAGAATAGAATATTATAAAAATAGAATATATTTTAAAATCAATCTTAAAGTCAGTATCAAACATAATCAAAAATAATATAAAGAGCATATAAATAGTATAAATTTAAAAATAATTTGAAATAATTTAAAGAGTATATCTCTTACTTAATATAAAATATTTAAATTTTTCTGAAATACTAATAGTTTAGTATTAATTGTTTCTAGATCATTTTCAAAGTCAGTAATTAAATGTAAAGAATATGCCGAGTATATCTCTGTCTAAAATAATTTATTTAAACTTTTTTAAATAACTAGCTGAGTGATGTGTTGTATATTAAATAAAAATTTTTTTTTTATTAATTATATTTTCCAGTTAATGAAAATCCGGTATTAACTGATGAATACTTGCAAACCTACAATGCCGAAATATTGGTCGGTCCCATTGAACTTTCCTCATGTATTGACCTGTGCGATCAGGGTGGTGTAATGACATTAACCTCACCGAAACTATTTAAAACTCGTACACGAAACTTTTTATTGCATTTACGAACTATGTCAGATCAAAGTAAGGATGGTCAAGCTAAAACACGTGGTAATAATTAAAAAATATTTTAATTAAATATACATAATAAATATACTGATATTATTGTTTGTTTATAGGATGCGATTGGTTACACGAAATATCCATATCTGTACGTGGTGTAAAGACAATAAATATACCTAATGAACGTACACAACGAATTGCAATGCTTGAAAGTAAACTGCTATTAGAGAATTTATTTTTGATTATAAGTTCTACTGAAACTTCGAGGCTAGAAAAAAATCTTGCTTTAGATATATTGATATGGATTTGTTTTATACGCTTGAATCGTTATCGTTCCTCGAAGTCTGAAAGTATGAAAGCACAGTTGAATAAAAATGTGCAACATAATAATGTGGATCTAGTAGCACAACAAATTGAATGTATTTCTATAGCTGAAAAGTACATACACAGTATCATTCGTAACTGTATCATTCATAGCGATCGTTCGATCGCTCACAAATGTGTGAAAGTAATAATTATATTAACAGAGTAAGTATACTACAATATTACTTATCGTAAAAAAATAAGAACTCATAAAACTTTGTTGCACACTGCAGAGACAGTCTTTCTGTATATATAACGGCATAAAAATCATACTATAAATGAAGTGTTAATCAATTGTAAGGATGCAAAACATTTAAATTTGTTTTTTTAATTTTCAGTGGTATAGGTAACATGCCTAGTGAACTTCAGAATGAACTTAATTTGAGCGTTGCTGTTAAAACGGCTATATCATCCACATTCAAGGAGTTGCCACTTTCAAAACATGCGAGTGTTGTACATTGGTTTACAACATTGGTTTGTGCCACATCTACTGCTGATTCGCATAACGAAATTTCTGAATTATGCATAAAGTTGTTAACCAAGATATCTGCAGAAATTTCGCAACGTTGGGATCCGTATGGTGCATTACTAGGAACAAGGTACGTTATATATGAAATTGGTTTTTCAAATTTATAACATTATTTATAACAGATTTGGCATGTATGGTTTTCCATTTGAGCCCGAAATTTTCGATTATGAGTTACCAAGCATGAACAAGAATAATGCACCAATTCCTTCAACCTTTTTAAGCATCATGCGACAAAATGCAGGTGCAATGCAAACAGCTGGTATGGATATTAAAAAGCTCTGTTCAATTGGTAATTATATATAGTTTAAAAAATTGTATGAAAATATTTTAATATATATATTTAAAATAAACAAAATAGATAGCGTAGATTTTCGAACATTCCCACATTTGATAAAATGTAAAAGTGTGAGCAACCAATTGCGAGGCTTATTAGAGGTAGAACAGTTGCATTTTTCTTGTGCTGCAACATCTGAAGCTACTCGCATAGATAATTTGGATTCAATTTCAACTGGCAATGGGTCGAGTATAAATGTGGAAGATATTATTATGGGACCAATGCAATCCGTTTCCGTAGATGTTTTAAAGGATCCCGATATTGATAAGGTATACAAAACATAGATTATATGAAATGATCAACTGTTAGTTGTTTTTCTTTAAAGATACACGACATTGTTAATAATGTCCAAAATATTATTGTTGATAAACATCTTAAATTAAAGAAACCCAAAGAAGTTGAACAAAAAGCCAATGGCGTTTCTCGTAAGTTCACTTAATTAAAAAAGTAATAAAGTAATTAAAAAGTACTCCTTATTGATAAAATTTTTTTATTTAGACTTTGAGCATTTGCCGCATTTATCATCGAAATACAATTCTATGTTGCCAAAATTCAAAGCAATTTGCAAATACATTGAGCTATGTGATGACACAACTAAAAATTCCGCTAGCAATAAAGCGGAACTTTTTAAAGAAAAAGCAATATCAGCCCAAGCTAAATTATCAGCTTTGGAGGATGCCCTCACAAAGTTAGATGAAACTCAAACAACAGTTAAAGATGTGCTTAAAATGCATAATAATAATGGAGAACAACGCATAACGCAAAAACAAAGTGCACAACTACCTCATGTGAACAAGGAAAATATTACAACTAATGTCTTCTCTTGGCATAAATTGCTTTTGCCTCCGCCGAAACAAATGATTGTTATCGATCGTATGCACTCTGGCGCTCGCCGATTTGTTGTGCTAGACTTCGGCGCGCATATCCTATTAACCGATTTAGTAATACCAGCTTGTGATGAGCTCGCATCGCTACACATAGATATTTGGTGTTTTGATGAAGAAACTGACAGTGTGCGTTTGACAGTAACACATGATATCGGCACTAAGACATTAGTTTTGACTGATTTACAACCACCGCCAATATGTCGTTTCATGAAAATCACCATTATTGGTCGCATTGGCATGTCATCCACAAAATGTAAGATACCGATAGGTTCATTTTATGGTCATACTGTTGTGTTAGATAGTGATTGCTATGGTGATACAGTATTGAAGAAAGTTACGCGCCAACCACAAAATTTACAAGCTCAGATAAAGGCATTGACTTCTTTGTATGAAGATGTACACTGTCGTTATAGCTTAGCGAGTTGTAAATTATTGGAACTGTTATCACCTGTGCTAAATTGCGAAATATCAAATGTTGCTCACATGCAGGCTTTTATTAATAAGCAGCATGAGACAGAGGCAAATGTGGTGGATAATTTAAAAATCATTAATTTGTACGAAGTAAGTTAATGAAATATAAATATTTTTATAATTTTTATTAATGATTTTAATCCCAACAGGAATGTATTATGCTACAACATCAAATTAATGTTATACGTAATGTTATCAATCGTTTCGACACTTCCTTGTCAAAAGTCAATCCAATTATGACTGCACGTGACGATATATTACAGTTAACATCACGAGATAAATTGCGTGTTCTGAGCCAAAGCCTAGTAGAAATATTATTGCATTTTTCTATTGAATTTGGATTTAAGGTAAAACGAATAATGCTGTACACGCTCAATTATAAACAATACGTAGTAAAAAAAAATGCCTCGCGAATGTTTATATTTCGTACGATTTTAAATGACTACAGATGTAATTCACATGTTTACCCAGATGTATTCGCATTGTAATTCGTTTCATATTTCGTTGAGTTAGCAACTATTATATCCATATGTTATTAAAATGCCTTACAAATTTGAAATGGTCTTTAGTGAATAAGTATATGAAAAATTAAAACACGAAGTGTGTTCACGAGTTCATATAATCTACAAATGTAATGCTTTAATTCCAGTAAAGAAGAACATTGATGCAACATGAAAATTTTTAGTAAAACCGGGTTCAGCTATTTTTAGTAACAAATGTTTTGTTGTTGAGGGACTTTACTTATGTTAATGTAATGGAATATATCACTAATGTAAAAGAACTTATTGTACAACAATAAACTATTATCATAAGATAACTAACGATAAACAGTACGCAATATAAACTTACATATATATTATATAAATTAAATTAAAATTAAAAACAAATGTTAATAACTTCATTACTGTTAGTATATTATGATATTTATTTGCTTTTTTTTTTGTTAAAATTGTAGAATATATTACCAGTACATCAATTATTTACAATTGACGTTGCCAATATGTTATTTAATTCTTTGGTCGTCTATGGAGACGCACACATACAATTAGCTACTTGTTCTTTGTTGGTACGGATGTGTTGCTTCCAAAGTTGGTGGGGTGACTTTTTGGCGGATATTTTCTGTAATTTATTTTCGTCTCAAAATAGTAAAATATTTCCACAAGATCGGTTAGTATATATTGTATATATTGTTTTAAATGTAAAATTATCAATTGTATTTCGTTTTAGAATATTTTTCCTACTAACATATTTGGGTAGACGAAGCATTGCCATGGGATCATGTCGCTCAATAGTAATTGATGCAATACTAAAAACATTAGCTAAATTATTAGCACCAATATCACCACGTTATCAACAAACTTATGATAACGCTGATCGATACAAAGATAATTCCGGAAATTTATGGTTGAAATCTGATTTACAACTAATTACATGGTTGTTGTTATTTTTGTCAGTTTGCTTAGATGATAATAACGATCATAAAGATAAATGTAAGCAAATATATTATTTTTATTATTATATATTGTTATTATATAATAATTTTATTCAGCTACAAATCGTTGGGATTTCATGAGCTGTGAATCTGATTTTACAAAGTCGCGTACACAATCATCTAACACACAAAATAAACAATTACGTTGTTTTAAGAAACGCATTATACAGAATAAATATAGTGTTCAACCTTACACTGATTGGGGAAAAAAGATATATATGATACAAAATGAGGTAGACAATAAATTTTAAAAATATTCATATACATATACATATCTAATCAAATATATTTATGTTATAGCATCCAAATATATTAATGGAATTAGCGGGAAAACCAAAATCATCTAAACAATCAAATAAAAGCGCAACAACATCAAAGCCTGTCAAAGAAGTTAATGCAATAGAAATTGAAAATAATTTTGATAAGGGACTTAAAGCCATACGAATTTATAATATATTAATTGTGATAAGAGGTCTTATTGCATTGCTTCTAGAGATGGATTTTACTTGCAATATGGATCAATTTTTGTTAACATGCAAGGTAAAACCCATTTTTATATTATAATACCAAATTTTTATAAAATTTTTAACATTTCTAGGTGATTGCACGGTTGGTATCTGCCTGTCGCCCAGCTGTAAAATTGACAAAAATTGTAACTACCACACAACTGGAGCAATTAATCCGGCTTGCTGTTTGGAATGATCAACAACAACCTTGGGCTGTACATGCAATTACTTGTTTATTACAGGTAATATAAATCGTTTTGTATTTTTATCAAATGAAGACGATATAAAATAGAATAATGTGCACCATAACTTCGTTATGCAAAACTCTTATATTAATTAATAACGGATAAGTTGTTTTATTAGATAATTATGATTTTAATCAACTTAAGAATTTTGATGGTTTTGTATTGTATTGTGCCATGTGTTATAAGGAGCAACAAGTCTTCTATCGAGATAGAATCATTTATATAGCTGTTTTTATATTTTTTGTTTGTTTATTTGGAGTTTCATCATATGTTAATATTAAATAAAATAGTATTTTTTTTAAATCAAGAGTAATTTATTATAATAAATTTTAATTTATTTTTTATAGGATTTGTTAGATGCTGATAAGCACTATAAAGACAATGACGCTACTCCTACAAATGATCGCGGCAGTATTTTGGAAATTGTAACCGCAGACCAGTCACCAAAAAATGCTTTTGACAGTTATCAATGTAATTATAATTAAATTTTTTTTTTTTGAATATTATATATAAATTTTTTTTCATTTGTTACAATTTATAGCAATATATGCACAACAACCCATGACATCTGTACAAGCTAACAGTAATGAAGTGCCCTATTCTGATGGTAAATATAATTAATATAAATCATTATATATGTGTTATTAATTAATTAGCTGGAGCTTAAGCTTCATTTTTAATGCAAATTAAAATTAATAAGTTTTAAAACAATTTGTATGTTATTTTTTTAATTATAACTATTTCTGTCTACCTTGTAGACCATCCTCAGTGTACATGTGCACTTAATTATCAAATAAAAATTTGGCATTTAAATAATTCATTAATTAATTAGTTAATTAATTATTAATTAACAGTTCTAAGAACGGCCGGGTTTATGTCCCGGAGCCACTCGTGAATCTCGACGACCAAGAGCTGTTAATTATTTTCAAAGTGATTTTACTAGTAAACAATAATTAATAATTAATAAAATAAAGTATTATATAAAAAATAAATATTAAATTAATAAAATTTTTTGTTTACTCTTATAGCAAAATATTATCATTTACCATCTTTAATTGAGTGCGATGATACTGAGTTTGATGAACTTCTCAACGACATGGCGATGATTGAACGTACAAAACCAACGAAAAAAGACAACAACAACGTTAATAAAAATACAGTTAATTACTTTTGTAAATCTATATCGAGCTCCCTAGATGCTAGGTTAGATGTTGGATTAGATATCAACATTGAAGTTAAAATTCGACGCTTAACAATGATTTCTTCCTTGGATATGTATGCATCATTGCCTCAGATTCCTGGAAATGAATTCGTTACACCCATTCCGGAAGCAACCATATGGCCAGAATACATAACAGAGATTTGGTCAACACCAGAATTTAATGAATCGCAAAATACTTACAAAATGTTTAAAGATGTATTTGATAGCATATTCGCAGATCTACATATGCAGGTAAATTTTTAAAATGAAGTTTATTTTGGAATAGAAAGTGTACAATTTAAAAAATGTTTTTTTTTTTGTTAAAGGATACATGGGTACATTTGGAACAGGTATTGCATATGTGGCTAACTTTGAATGGAGAGCTTACTGATAAAGCCTGTACTGGAACTTTTTCGCAAACCGATGTACCAAAAATACCATTTGGTGCACATGCTGTGCAGGGACTGTTAATTGCACTAGCTTGGCATAATGATATTAAGTTGCGTACTTGGTGTTTGGGTTTCCAATGCTTGTTTTTAGCTTGTAACTCACAAGCTATTTGTGATGATGACTCAGATTCGACGAATATAAACGAAGTTATAATTAACGATGAACATTTTGAGAAAATGTTGTTGAGATTTTTCTCTGGTTATGGTATGACTTCAACTATTATTTCTAATCGATGTGTAAGTTATTTTACGATTTTTTTTAATTGAATAATTGTTAATAATTTAAATAATTAGGCTGGACCAACTATATGTAAACATTTGCATGAACTATTACAATGGTTGCATAAGAAAAGCGAAATGACAGAAGATTTTATCACTTGTAAACGTAAACTTAAGGATATTTTACTGCATATTATACTGCAGTTAGTTCAACCAGGTGGTGCTATTTGCACTCAACAGGGTCCAATCGACGCACAAAGTCAATTAGTGCGTGATTTGCTATGTATGCCAAATGATAAAGCTGATTTAATTGTTGCTTTAAAAATAATAGATAATGTTTGTAAGTAAAATAAATATTTGAAATAAAATTACCAATTCATCTATTTTTTATATTCAAGCGTTCCTGGTCAACAATAATATATCCAACAATGACAAGTTACAATGTCAGCGTATATCTGATAATAGTAGTGCTGCAAATACGTTCTGCAATTTATTTGCCAATGTGCTTGGTTCAGATAACACTAAGCAAAATGCATCTATATCAGATAATTCGTTGATTATTAGTTTAATAAAGCTGTCATCGTCGCTCATACAGATAGAGTTGCCAAGACAGCCAAGTGTAAGCAATAACATTTTGATAAATATTTGATTTAAAATTTTGTTTATGAATATTTTTTAAATATGTACTTTTTGTTTGTAGGAGGTTCCAATACCGGAAGATAAGGAACTTTCAAACGAAAGTCAAACAGATGAAACAAAAGCTGAACAATTAAATAATGATGGTCCAAAATCGAAAACACCATGTATAGCTGATACGGGTAAGCTAAATATAAATATATATAAATAATATTTAATATATACGTTGGAATATATTAATTTAATATATATTAAGTTTTTTAATAAATAAATAATTTTAATTTTAATTTACAGTATTACGTGATAAGAACATGAATACCATGAAACGTTTATTAACTGCTTTGTCGAATTGCACCAGCACTTCCGTCATATTGACAATAACAAACAATTCTATAACTACTACAAAGGCTACAGATAATAATTCATTCGATGATCCGCAAACAACAGCAGATGCAGTTTTTAATATGCTCGTTTTACTATACGAAAAAGCATCAAGCCCACGTTTAGTTATTGCACCAATATGTCAATATCTGGAAGCAAGTAAGCAAAATTCTTTATATAATAAGTGAACATACAATAACGTAACTTTTTTTTTACTTTTAAAGGCACCTCGAATCGTACTTATCTTCCACGTTTACAATTATCAGAACCTTTTCTTCTGTTTATGTCAAAAGTTTTGGCAGATTCATCTTCTGTTCAAATTTTTACACAACTTGGTGGCATAAATATTATTTGCAAAAATTTAGTTAAACTAAACAAAGCATTGATTAATATGCAACCTAGCTTAATATCGCTCATTATGCAACATATGACCAAGAATTCCAAGATAAAAATTGCTCCACAGAATAGTTTGAATAACAGTTTAAAGAAACCACCAACAAATAACGCACAGTCTCCACGTTACCTACAAGAAGGTCTTATTAATTTTGCACCATTCTGCAATATTTCTACAGAAAATGATTCTGCTCAATCCGCTGATATATTAATTTCCAATCCAATGGCTTCACATCGTCGGCCACGTACACCGGCCTGGAATTATATGTTTTATCCTAATGAATCGCATGTAGATTTAACCATTACGTTGCCAACTGCGGTATTGCTGAAGGAAGTGCAATTGCAACCACATACTCCGACACTGGCATCATGTCCATCAGCTGTAGCTTTAGAAATATCACGTGATTATGGTCTAGGACCTATACCCGTTTGCTCACCACTAACCACAACAGGCATGACATGCATACGTTTGAAGTTGGCTAAAGCTGAAATAGCAACGAGTGTGGTTTTAAGATTATACAGGTTAGTCATTTTATTTACATATTAATTTATGTTTTAAATAATTGGTGGTTTTTTGGACAATTTTTTGTTTAGACCTAAGGATAGTTCCAATATTGGTTTGTCACAAATTGCTATACTCGGCAATACAATATTTGCAGAACATGCAAATACCAGCAGCAGCAGCAACAGTGTATCAAATGCTGATAATTCAAGTGATAATGATATTTTTGCTAAGACTAGCATTGGTTGGATAAGTATTTTATCACGTTGTTTCAATGCAGCTGATTTTATGCCCTATCCTAAATGGGAAGCAGATATCATTGGTGCTTCGGCCGTATATCCTGGTTTCCTTGAAGCATGTTGTTCATTAATGAATATAATGCCCATGATACCAAGTGGAGCTCAACACAATTTAGAAACGGTTCTCCTTAAGTTAGGTTCATATAACAAAGAATTGTGTTTATCTTTAATACGAATTTTGTTATGGAATACAGCACCTCAAGGTATTTAATTTAATTTAAACTAAGTTTTTAAATATATATGTTTAATATATACCATTTTTAGTTTATAAGCTCACAAATGAAAGCATATGTGATTTGCTTTATGAATTAGCAACAACCAATGATGCACACATCACAGATAAAATACAGTTATTATTGGAATGGGTCATCAAATTACGTCAAAGTTACAGCAGTGGTACGCAACGTTGTAACAATCCTCAAAGTGGATTTGTAAAATGCATTGCTTCTATTTTGTGGTACATATGTTCCAATAATCAAGTGCATAAAATAATGGAACTAATAACAAATGATATATTTGAAGCTTGTGTTTACTGGATTGATAACTTAGCTCATGATGAGCCCTTGAAAGTGGCATTTGATTCACTGCTCTGTGCACTATGTAACATCAAACCAGAACTTTTTGATCAACTTTTACTAAAAGTTGACGTTAAAGTTATGCAGTCAATGCCAAATATTT